GAGCTTAAATTGCTTTGCACCTTTGCTCTGTCCTCTTTGTTCTTATCCTCTCATCTCGTCTTTCTGCAGTCAGTGATCTTCAGGAGCAAGGAGTTTGGGTTTTTCCACTCATCGATGGAAATAAACAGTTTAGGGCCAAGATCTATTTCCTGAGATAGATCTGTAGGAAGACATCTTTCTGGTGATTTTATGTTCACAATTCCCAGTTAGAGATCTGTTGACTGATTATTTTTTTTTATTTTTTTTAATCTATTTAATGTGTGCCCTGTTAATTTTGGTTTAGTCAGTTAATAAGCAGTGCCAAATCAAGTGCTTTATAGAAGACCAAGTATATCAATGCTGTTAAATCGACATTCTTAAAATTTATAAATCAAACCTGTAATCTCATCAAGAAGGATGTCAGTTCAGTTTGGCAGAATCTATTTTCCATAGGCCTAATTTGATTGACATTGATTTTATTACCTCTCTCTAATTCTTTATTATTAGAGTCCAGTATTGAATATTCTGTAATTTTGCCTTGCTCAGCATTACTCTGGATCTGTAATTACTTGGATCATCCAGTCCTCACTTTTTGAAATTCAGTGCAAAATTGTCTTTCCTCATGGCTCTTGGAATTTGTTCAGTGCTGTAAGAATTACTGAAAACCACAAGAGAACCATTTACCCCTTTTTTTGGAGTCTGTTTTGTGCAAGTAATCCAGATCATCTCATTTAAGCATGTCTAATTTTAGGAGCTCCTGTTTAATATCCACCTGAGTTGCTAGTTAGTACTTCATATAGCTTCTTTAGGTGTACGTAACACATCTGTTTTCTCTGTACTGTTACTATTACTATCTGCTGATGAGTCAGCATTAGTGTTAAGGGATCTTTTTTCTGTAATCCAAAAAAAAAAGCTCTTGTTATTCTGACCTTCACTAACCAGAGATTTTTTTTTTGTTTTTTTGTTTCTCTTTCTTACCATTTTTCTGTTTTAAGTTACATTGGTTTCTATCTGTTTTCCCTGTCTCCCTATTAATTTAAATATGGAATTGACCAAAGCACAGTGGCTTACAAAGGAAGTAAAGACAGGTACAAGTCTTTACCCGGGACCACCTTTTTCATAGTTGCAGGTTTTTGGGTGTATGGATAAATGTTATAAACTGGGTATGTTGATTTTTCCATACTCTTTCTCATGGTTTGTTTTAATCTTGGTGATTTTCAGCCCTGAAATAGAGCCTTCTGAAATGTGAAACACGTACGTTACCAGCTTGGGCTTGGCTTTGTGTGTGTTTTTGAGACTGTCAAGTCCTTGATAATTTTTAACCCTGTTACTGCTCACTTTTAGACCTATTCTTTACCAGATCATAGGAGATCCACTACGTGTTCTGCAAGCTGGATAAAACATTCAGAAAGAGCAATGGTAATAGTGATATAACAAGGTGTTGTTTTGGGATCATCTAGAAATATCTCTTGCCTGCCCTACTGAATCACAGCATGCGATGAACTATTGGATTCCAAATCACAGAAAATATTTACTATTTACGGTGCTGTTCCTGGGAAGTGTAGCATGGGAATGAACTTCAGTGTCTGTGTGGGATCCCACTGAGAGGTCCAGCTGCTTGCTTAGCGCTGCCAGATTGCGTCCAAAGAAATGTTACCCTTTTGGAGTACATGCAATACGAGTACATAACGAAAAAGCCCAAAGTTCATACCATATTCTGGAATAAATCATTCTCTTCTTTCTCTACCAGTAATGAATTTTAGTTCTTTCATAGCTAGAGTCTGTGTTTTGTCTGACATAAGGTGTATCTCTCTTGAGAGTAATTTGAAAATAATATTTTTGTCTGGCTATATAATTTTGGGGGGGTTTTTTAGCTGTAAATGTTTAGCACACTAAAAGTTTATGATGTCTGCCAGCAGTCATAAAGCTTTTCAGAAATTATCTTTTTCTGGGTTTATTTTCTTTTCAGTTTTTTGAGGATGGGGAGGGTGTCTGTCTTCACTAAATGATGGTGTTTAGGGGAGATGCTTGCAAATAAAAAATAAATGAAACAAATTATACTCCTGAAGTGGCAAGCTCTTAACCGAAAGATTTTTCTCCCTTCGGCTTCAGTAGTACAAAGCAAGGCATATGGCAGAAAGCAGCAACAAGAATTTGGTGATTGAAACAACTGCATCAGGATTTCAGTGGGCTACAAAAGGGTGTGGGGTTTGATGCTTTTTTTTTAGATGAAAGGAGTTTTTATTGCATTAACAGAAATTCAGTGCTTAGAATGCTGAGTAGACCCACCCTTTTTTGGGAGAATATAATACAGCCAATGCAGCAATTTAATGTATTTGATACAAAATCATAACCGATAGCTTATGAGTAACAGGCCTTAAATTCTATTACAAGTTCTGTGTATTTCATGATATTCAGGAGTATATACTGACAAGAAGAAACCATGTTTCTGTGTACCTATTCTAAGCAAAATCTTATGACAATGTAATTGTTTTCTTTAAGCCAGGTTCTGCAGGCATGCAAGCAGACAGCTTTGTTCCTGTTGGTACTCCTTATCCTTCACCTTGGAGAAAGTATTTGTATGTTTGCAGTTGGTAGTGAGAATCAGAGCTGATGATATCTAAACTTGAATAATGTTACTGAAGAACTCCAAAGAAAGGAGTGAATGGTCTGTGAAATTTCGTGTCATTCTTTTCTTGTAATTGCCACTGTTTCCCTTCGCTACAGCTTGTGTTGTCTATGGGTTTGTTATCCATGGTCAGTTCCTTGCAGAAGTATTTATAGAAGTGAAAATGTTCCTATGAGAGACTATTAAAAATAATTGTATATATTGTAGAGGTCAGTCAGTCCGTGTGCCTTGAATAACCATGGCTGGACGTGGAAGCCTGTGTTCGGACAGATGGACGTAAATCCTGGGCCTTGCGTGAGCCACTGCTGTTACCTGTGTATCTCTGTAGGTCAATAGATGGTTAATGAGAAAAGTAGGGATGTGAACGCAGGTTCTCCAAGTCCTGATACTTGTGTCGCCCTTCCTCCCTAAAAAGAGGTTCGTCTCCTAGAGAATGGCTTCATTCTGCCTAGGACTGTTTAGGATTTAATATATTAAGGATTTGATCTGTTCAGAAGCATAGGGATTGGGGCTGTATAAAATATCTCAGGTAGACAAGAAGAGGAAAAGTATGGCATGGAAAGTATCTTTATTTCTGTTCCAGGCTTTGCGCTCAGTCAGACTTCAGCTCGTTCTTGGTTAATGTCATGTAACTTGGATAAGAATATTTTTGTTGAGATTAATTCAGCTCTCTAGGAAGACCGGATATGTTTTAATACTTTTTTCTGAAGTTAAATTGATTGGATGGAATTGCTCCCTGGATACACTGTAGGTTTAAACAGCCATTTCTTATCCTTACGCCTGCATGTGGGCATTTTAGGCATGAACAGTGGTGTTGCCATGGATTTTTAAGGTCTTCCATCATATAGTTAGCAGCTTTTAGTGCTTTGATCTGATTTCGTAAGACAGAAGTGCTCCCTGTATTTGTGTTAGAGCAAATGCTGTATTTTTGGTGGTGTCTGACTTTGAGAAACACAGAGATGCTTTTTTGTAGTCCGGGAGACAAAGAAACAAGGCTTTGTGCTTGGGAGGCAGGATCCGTGCCTCCGGGGTACATCAAGGCACTTGGTGTGCAGCTGCTTTCCCAACCTCCACTTTCTCCTGTGGAGCAGGAGCTGGGTCACCGTTTGCTGCTCCTGCAGATGAAAATCTCTGAGTGCTGTCCTTCTCCTTGGGAGCGATTTTCACATGGTTCCTTTCTTGCTGCCTGTGAGCAGGAGCAGTTAGATCCTCAGCACATCAGCACAGGTTGTCTTTTGGCTTTGCTCTCTCCGGATACACTGAAGGGTGTGTGAGAAGGAGCGTGGTTGAAATACAGGACCACTCGTCTGCCTGCTTGGGCTTGCTTATTCTTGAAATTTGATTATCTGTGTCTGTGCCTTAAAAAAAAAATGCTCTGTTTTCCAAATGTGCAAAATAACTTCAGTAGGAGGCTCGAGAAGGAAGGGATCTGGAAGCGACTGTCTGTCACGTTGCATTAATAGAATTGATGCTGCAAAACTGCTCCTTGGGAATGGGGAAAAGGTGCCTTTGTGGTACGGGTTCTCACAGCCCACTGCAGACCCACGGCTCTGTCCCTGCACTCTGTGCATGACTGTCTGTAGTGCCAACAGCATGGCCTCTCCAGCTCCATGTTACCTAGCCCGGTTATTAACCGGGTCTCCTTTTTCTGCTGCAAATGCAAACACAGATCTTGCTAGTAAAACAGAAGCTGTTGAAATGATTTTGGCTGCCGAAGTGGGCTCCTGCCATCCTGTGCGCAGCAGCAGTTGTTGCACTGTTTTGGTTTTGCCGTCATCTAATACATGGAGGAAAGCTTCAATGCCATCTCTTACCCTGCTGCAATTTGAGCTGTCCTTTCTCTTCCTATTTACGGGCTGCTCACTGAGCAATAAAATGAGATTAAAAGGTGGTTGTCTGTTTCTCAGCTGCTTCAAGGTTAGTGTTAAAACACTGTTTCTTAATTTTTGCATTTTAAAGCACTTAAACTTGTTTATAAACAGTAGCAAAATTATGTGTGGGGGTTTTTTTTAATCATTTTTAAGAGGTGGCCTCGTTACTCCTGGCAGGTCAGCCAGTTACACTTATTAGGAGCTCGGCACAAAACTATTACACAATTCTGTCAAGCCTCATACACACTGTTTTGTAAACTCCTGGGAAAGGCTGGGTGGGGGGATTGCTGCTTCTTTGTTTTAAAACTAGGATCTTCAGAGCAGCAATTTAAAATTTTTATGTTGGCTTCCACTATATTAAGGAGATAATGAAATGGTGAAGAATGGCACAGAGACCATAGGGGAAAACAGGGATGAAATGAACAGTGTAAGAAAATTGTGTTCCCACTCTTGGAAGTTGTTTCTGTGCTTAAAAAAAATACTGAGGCTTTTTTTTTTCTTTGTTTCTTGTGTTTCAACAGGGCAGAGTTTAGGGTATGGATTCGTTAACTATATTGATCCAAAGGATGCAGAGAAAGCCATTAACACTTTAAATGGACTCAGACTCCAGACCAAAACCATAAAGGTAAGACAATACAAAACACCTTTTGCTTAATTCAGGAAGTGGAGAAAGTAGTTGAAGCAGTTTCTGACAATTTTGTCACTATTTTAATCTCCATTGTAAGGGGACTAACAAGCTGCTGCTTGGAACAATGGGAGGACATGCAGAACGTGAAATCTCTCTTCTCTGAAATTGCTGCTATTGTTAAAGGGGGAAAAGTAACAGGAAGCTCCTTAAAGCATTGCAGTGAGGCTTAAATGTAGAATAAACCAGCTGTAGCGATACAGTTATCCATAAACAGAGGTGAAGTACATGATGGTGTACTCATGTTACACCTTTTCTTGTGTTTTAATAGGAGGTACCTTGACATGGAGCACTCTTTTTAATGACACTCATGTCATTATCGGGTGTTGAAAGTATGCTTCTCTCAAGTTAGAATATATCATCCTCCGAAAAAAAAATATTCTCAATTACTACATCCTTGGTTTGATTTACTCTTTTAAAAGCTGGAGGGATTAGAGATCCCACCGAAGTCTCTCATTTCATTGTTGTAATAGACCATTAGTTATTCAATGACCTTCTTTAGTGGTCTCGCAAGAAAAGCAAGTTTCTATACTGTCACGTTTTTTGCTGCATGGCTGATAAAGCTTTTTTGAAACAGCTTACGGAAGATTTCCACATCCCAAAGTCTAACAAATAATACAGCTTAAGGAGTGTGAATCAAAAAATTGAAGAGGAACGAACAGCAGATGTGATTCAAATTAATCTGAAACTGCTTTGATCATATTTGAATGCTGGCTCTTAATTTGGACTATTTTCTTAAGTTTTCTTCTGTTCTTAATTTGTATTTCAAAGCCAAAAATGTTAACATAAAAATAGAATTTTTACTTTTGGAAATGCTGGTACAAACGATATCAGTGACTTCATATCTTGTGAAAAGGATACTGTATGGTCAATACTTTAGTTGTGCTTACCCTTTCTCCCTAAAGGTTTTAGTTTGGACAAAGTAGTATTCCCTGAAGTGAAAATATTTTTTGGATTCCTGTGCATCTAAGGGTTTCAAGCAAGTTTTTCCCTGGTCTGTTTGATTTGTGAAGAGCAGAAGGCCTGAGCTGAGGGTTTTGAAAGTTGTGGAGTAGCTGCATGGATTATGTAGAGAAGGCTACTTTCAAACCTCCCTTAGATCAACCAGGTTCCATTCCATAGATATGTATGTGGGCCATATATCAAAATGCTCACAGCATGGTTTTGTAGAGTTAAAGAGAAAAATTTGTAGGAATACATAAGGCAAAGCAGCAAAATCTACTGCCTTATCTACCACTGCAGGTGGAGATTCGTGCTCAGACTCAGCAGTTTCTGCTTACAGTGAAAAGTTGAGCAGTAAGTTACTCTCCAAATTGCTTTTAAAGGCACATTATCAGGAAAAATATAATATTTTGAAAATGGTAACCTATCTTCCAAATACTTTATTAAAAACTCAGGACTTGAAAAACTTAGATCAGTTTTTATTGCAGCACTTCTGTATTTTGAACATTATTCAGCGTTTGCAAAGGTGCTACCTTTCTTGCCCTAAGTACCTGTGTTGCTTTGTCTCTGTTTTTTTGATTTTGTGAGCCAGAGCAATACTATTGTATTTATAATATTCTAAGGTTACAGGAAACATTGTAAGCCACAAAAAGGCCTCCAAAAAACTCCAGCCCACCCCAGTTATTAATTTACATTTCTCTCGCAGACAAAATTGAACCATTATGCTTTCCTTTTTATCATGTATAGTAAGATTATTTTTTTGTTACCCAGGAACTTCCCATGCTAAACATCTTTGCGGAATGTTTTTTCTTTAATTTTTCTTAATTCAGTATAAATTTTACAAATACAAGTGGTTTATTAGGTTTGAGGTTTTCATGCTTATTAATAGCTAGTAGACTTTTATAGAATACATGACGTTTTGTTGGGCTCTTGAAAGGTGTTTAATAATAAGCAAAGAGATTGACCTAACTACATGCACAGGAGCTGCATAATTTCTTCAGTGATTGGGAAGACACATGTAGGCTTTTTTAAAATTGTTTTCAAGTAAGTCTTTATGCTGTTGCCTGAAACCAACTCAAGGGAGCCTTCTGTTGAAATAGCAAAGTTTTGGACACATGGACATCTAATTGGCAGTTTCCAACCCTATCTTTAATTGCAGAATCACATGTGATTACCTCACTTTACCCCCTTGGTTTTTTGTATTTTTAATTATGTTTTGCTCTTGGAAATCTTAATAAATTAGGTCTGCTTCCCTGGTACTGTGTGACGGGGATGGAGGTTTCCCAATGTTCAGGCTGAGTAGTGAATCGTGTGTTTTTACTGCTCCCGGCAGCACCTGTGTTGCTGGAGATGTCCCTAGTTTCCAAAGGATTGCAAAGTGGTGAGAAGTCGTACTTGGTGCCGCTGAAGTCTCCTAGCTTGCCTCTTGCCCCCCAACTGCCCCTTTCCAGCATTTCACTGTGATTCATTATAAGGTTGAAGTATTTTAATTCATGGAAGTACTATATTTAATTATCAGAGCCGATTACTTTAGTCTAGCTAGATGCCCTTTACAGTTATTAAAAATGCACTTTTGGTGCCTTAAAATGCCTGTCTCAAAAGAAAGGGATTTGGTGGCATGTAGTTTTGTAGGCTAAAAAATGTTTAAATACTAGAATAAGGTGGAGCTGGGAGAGTACTGAGCATTACTTTATTCTGTTTTCTTCGTGAGTGTGGCTGGGTTTTATGCCCCAGAATGAATCTGTAATGTCCTGTTGATGGATAGGCTGAACCTTGGCCTCTGCCTGTGTACGCTGGGTAGCTGCAGCCCTGCAGGTAACATTTCTCTGGCTACCTTTTGTTTGGAAGCTGTTTTGATGGAAAGTTGAAATGAATAATTTGTGAAAGCCCTTTTACAGGAGAAATTACTTCTGCTTGCCAAGGTCACCTTGGTTCTGCTGACTGGGTCCTATCTCCTTCCTCAGTCTGGGCTCTGCTGTCCCTTATACCTAGACTGAACATGAGCTGGCTCCAGGGGGTCACGTTTGCACTCATTTTTTTGACCCCACAAGGCTTAATGGCTGTTTAAAAAAAAACAAACATGTATTTTCTGCATGTGTCCCCAAATCCTGTCCTTTTCACTTCTGTAACACTTTTGTGGCAGCTTAATGTTCTTTCTCTCCTGATGCCTTGCAAAACAGCCATGCAGTCACAGGAGGAACTGATTTTATAGCAGGATCAGCAAAACAGCTAGGCACAGTCTCCTCTCAGATGTGTGCACTAAAATAACTGAAGAAATGCTCTTTTTATTACTTCACTGTTACAATAAATAATCCCTTTTCACTGTAGCAGCTAAAATATTTATGTGCATTTTAAAGTCCATGATGCCCTTTCAAGTCAAAGTTTAGAGGTGACTATTTACAGAATATTGGGGAAAGCATTGAAGGAAGTCTTACGCGTTTGGTGGTAATAGGTTATACATGTTATGTTCCTCCTCAACTGATCATAGTGCATATTTTATTTATGCCATTTCGTAGCAGCATCATCATTTTGTGAGGGAGAAGGGCTTCACTTTATTTTTACAGCTAAAGCTTGACATAGTTCTACAAAACAGCTTAGAATGAGGGAAGATACAGCGTGTGTTGAAATAAATATATATTCCAGAAATTGAATCTATTTTTAGAAATTAAATTTGCCCATCCATAAAAGCATATGAAAGGTCACTGCTGCTGTTGAAGATTGCCTGGCAATTCAGTTGCATCAAATAGCAGAAGGAAGATAAGATGTGTGATGCATGGAGTACATGATTGTTTAAACTGTGCTGCTTTGCCCTGAAAAAAGGACAACGTCTGAAAGGATGTGAAGGGAAGCATTTTAGAATTTACATTGGGGATTCAGGTGACCTGGCTTCATGTTGGGGGATGCTGGAACAAGGGCAAAACAGAGTTTTTGAAAGGAAGTTTGAAATCTAAAAAGAGCCAGTGACCCCCTGAAGTGCAATCTTGTGTCCCCCTCTCCTTCCTTTTCTCTGTCGCCTGAGAAATAGGTTCGTTTCTTCCCTTGCAGGAGCAGGTAGCATGCTGTGACACTGCTGGAGCGAAGTGAGAAGTCTCCAGTCAGGGGAGGAGGAATCTGGGTTCTCTGAGCCCTTGATGCCTTCCAGTTTTTAAGTTCATCGAATCTGTCAGATGATGAAATACCAAACAGATAGGATCATTTCTCTGGTCAGAGCCTTTTTCCAATTATTTTAATTTTCAGTTAAATGAATAAATAACATGGAATATAGCTACTGCTATTTTAACACTTCCTATTGTTAGTTCAGAATGTTTATTTCTGCTTTACTCTGCTGTTTTGATCTCTAGGACTTGGATGGTCCTAGTTTAAAATACAGTGAATAAGGCTGTGGGAGAAAGTACTCCTGTGTTTTCTGGAAATAGAGTGGTAGCATTACTGCTCAAAGATCTTGCTATTTATCTTGATTTCTCTGGCATTTTTTGAAATGCCAGATATTTCTACAGAATTCAGGCTCTGAATCTGTCCGTGTTAATGCTTGTAATTGTCTGCAAAACTACAAACCATCCTGTCACTGTAGGGTAACCAAATAACGGCAGCCTCAGATTTCTCCATCCTACGAAGTCATTTGTCAAGAAGATTGCCTTCCAGTCGTGCTCAGCGGTGAAGGAGGTGCAGGAAGCACAAGGTGGAGGAGGAGGAAGGCTGCGGCAGCGAGCAAGGGGGAAGAGAGCTGCATCTTCTGCACCCCATCCCAAACTGCTTGGCGGGTATGGGGGGGGGAGTTAAACCCCACGATTTGAGTTGCAGTCAGAAAGTGCTGGCTTGCTGATAGTTACAGTAGCAGAGCTCTGGTGTTGGGTGCCCTTGGTGCAATACTGTGTGTTCCTTGCGTATTCTCCTGTAGCCTCCCTGGGGGCTACCTGCCACCGAGCCAGCCAGCCACCACCTGCAGCTGCTTCTCCCAGTGAAGAGATGGGGTGTTGTGTGAGGCCGGGTGGTAAGGG